TTGATTTATCTCAAAATTGACAGACCTTTGAATATTTTATCCACCTTTATGTTAGTAAGGACATGCATATAACTGTATTGACTTTATTCTTTAACAATTTTTCCATCAAAGCAATACATTTCCTTCAACTTCTGAAAGTCTCAACCTCAAAAATAAGGAATTATTTCCTTATATTTGTATTTTTCTTTGACAGAAACCTTAGAAGAAAAGAGGAGCAATATTTCTGGGGTCAGAATTTGAACTCTAGAGTACCATTAATGTATTATACTCCCAAATGATTTATCAGGGAAAGACCAGTGGTAAATAAAAGTTTAAAAGAACCAAATATAATGAAGTGTCAGTAGAAGTAAAAGTCTAGGAAGTTTTCAAGGGCAGAAAGTATTACATTAAAATCAGAAGCATTAATTATATTTGGTTTAAAACACCATTTTCAATGGAAGTTTTTGCCATCATTGTAAATTAAAATAAAATGCTTTTTTCATGGGAAACTGAGATGGCATGCTACATTATAACACTACATATATTATCAGAGGGAATATGAAATGGTATTTTCATAGAAATGTGAAATAAGTTTAAATTTTATTCTTAATAGTTTATAATAATTCTATAATAGTTTACAATAATTTTATTATAATATTTATATAATGATATGTATTATATTACATGTAATATAATATATATTATAATTATTATGTAAAATTTATAAGCATTTGTAAAATCTCATAAATGAGGTTTTCAAAATGATTATATCTGAAACCTACAGTATTATTATAGCTATCAAGATACAAAATATTTCACATTTCTTTCTAGTTGTTGAGCAAAAATGACAATCTTTCTCGTAATATTTTTTTTAGAGTCATCTGCTTTACAGAAGCTGACACTAAAATCCTGTCTAGATCTTTCCTAACTTGGCAAAATGTTTAGCTAAAATAACTGTTACAGATTGTGGAATGTATAGTCAGCAAATAGGAAAAATTAGAAGTCATAAAATTAGAAAGTCATAATATTATTTGTAGTCATGAATGATTAAAATTTCAGAAGTAAGTTATATGAAGAAAATGAGAAAAACACTAGTGGAAATAATGGATTTAAGTCATGACACATGAATAATGTGATTATTCAATTTACAATGTTAAATAATTCAGTCTGTTTTGCTCTGAATGCAATTTCTCAACATACTATCACTGAATAATTTTTATTATTTTGTGACCTCATAAGCCATTAATTTGACATTAAAAGATGAAGTGATTATAACAGAACAGTGAATACAATAAGGAAAATAACTGTGAGAAATCAACGAAAGTTTACCTGACTTTGATGCTGTAATAAGAATCTTACTCTTAGAAGGAGCTTTCTTTTCCTGGGTTTCTTTCAGTTGTATTCTCACACGTGTTAGCCATGTTGTGAGTGAGACTTCCGGCACAAGCAGATGGTGTGACCACAACTCCAGTTCCTCTTCACAAGCCTTGTAATGAAATGCAAAGCAACCGAACAGTAGAGTCCTGTGCAGTCCATCTCATTGTCTAATGGCTAATGCTGGCCGTGTTTAAGGAAGGACTGAACATTCCAAGCCTATCAACATGTCAATAACATCATAACTACAGAATATCACCTTCATTATGTGACAAATACACCGGTCCCAGTAACATCTGCTTGCCTTTTTATAACTTCTACCCAAACTCGGTCAAATTTATAGGGAAAAAAATCAAGACACTTATTTCCCAAGAGACAATCTCAGACTGTTACAAATCCAAACACATTGGAGAGGGGCAAGGAGGGGGAAATTTCAGTTGGGGTAAGTTAACCATCAGGAACATCCACAGTCTTCTTGCCATTAGCCCTAAGGACTAACACAGACAGAAGATGAGGTCCCCAAGCTCATCGCGTGTTAGAGCTGAACATCAATCCATCCCACCTCATCACTCCTGGGGTGCTGGATTCCTATGGCAGACTGCCAGCCACAAGGGGGCAAGTTAGCGGTTTCACATAAATTTTCTAGGCCACTGCAATGTCTTCCGTCTTACACACAGTCCTTCCTTACCCATCTACTGTGGAATATCATCAATTAGCTTAATTTACAGATTACAGTAATAGGGAGGAAAATTTTGTAAAATTTTTGAATTTCTTGATTTTTGCTGACCTTCATACTGAAAAAGGTGGAGAACTAAATTTTTTTCATAGGACAAAGACAGTCAATACCACAAAGGTTAAAGTACTTGGGTAATAGAAGAAAATATCTAATCTTATTTTTGGGGTTCTTTTTTTTTATTATTTTGATGGAGGTTTTGGTTGGTTGGTTTGGGGGGTTTTCTTGGAACTGTTCTTTTGTTTTTAAAGGCAGAAGAGTTAGGAACAACTAGGAACAACCTTTGGAATGCTTGTGTGTTTTTCTTAGTAATTGTCATAATTTGATAGTGTGCTAATATGCTGAATCTTTGGAATTATTGACTTTATTGAGGTTGAGAGATTCAATTGCTTGCATTCTTGACAGATCAAGAGAAGAGTAAAATAATGAGAATACGTTCTTTAGAAGAGGCTAGGAAGAGGTGAGGATCATATCTATGTTTCTTAGAACTTATCAAGGTCAAGGTCAAGTTTTTCTAGAATTAAAGAATTGGGAAAACCCAACAACAAGCCAACAAAATGCCCTCATGAAATAGGTCAGTGGTTGGCACTGAGGAAGAGACACTGGTCTTCAGACAACACCAGAAGGGATAAGCTATCTAGACTGCATGCTACATTATTTATCCCAAATGTTTGGATTGCTTTTTCTTTTGTTCATTACTCTCTTTGCAGACTATGAGCAATCTAAGTTTAAAAAAAAAAAATAAATAAAATCAAAATAAACTGAAGTGAGTTTACAAACTTCTGAAATTGCACTGTGACAGATCTGCTGTTCATTTCATTTATATAAATCTTTTCAGTTTATTGCCAGCTTCTTCTGTGAATTTGACAGTACAATATTTTGTGACAGTTAAAGCTTTACTTCATGTAAATGGACTTTGATTTCAGGCATGCCAAAGAAATTTAATACAGTTCTGTCACACACTGATAAAGAAAGATGATAGACATACATAACCAGCAGCATTTTTGACAGTTTTCTGCCAAGTCATGCTATGTAGCTTCAGCTGAGAAATGAAAAATAATTTTGTTTAACATTACCCTATGGGGTCTAATGAATGTTCAATGAATTTCAGTCCCGAACTTTCAATCCTGTATACTGAGTCATGGAAAGCTCACACCATTCTGTCATGCATCACTTGTTAATGACATTCTTTGACCTTCATAAAGAGACTTAACAAAGGAAATGAGTATCCATTGTTGTTTGACATAAAAAGGTAGTATTTAGCATGAATAGCCCCATTCCAAATCTTCATGTTCCATGAAAAAGCTAGTATGCATTTCATGAGTTCATTATAAAAGGATATTATTTCAAGATAGATGATTTACAAATTGTTATATGTCTATCTTTTTGTACTGTTATATTCAGGGGGTTGCAAGAAGAGAAGGAATGTAGCACCAATTGTTCATATTAGGCTACAGTAGAAAAGTTAATGGGAGAAGCTGAAAGAAAGAAAGGGACAGGGGACCCACTGCTCACTCAGGCTCTTCCCGGTAGTACTTGGTGGGAGGAAGAGTGTAAGTGGGACAAAAGAGCATCAGAATGAATATAAGAAAAAATGTTTTTGAAGAAAAGCTTTTTTCAACCTGAGTACAGTCAAGAAATGGAGCAGGTTGCACAGAGAGGCTGAACAGCCTCCATACTTGGAAGTTTTCAAGGTATTACAGAATAAACCCCTGAGCAACCTGGTCTAATCTCATCCCCTTATCATGTTTTGAGCAGGAAGTTGAACTAGAGGGCTCCCACAGCTCCTTGCAACCTGAATTATTATTTTATCCTATGATTTTTTGGTACTGGGTACCCAACAGCTGTAAAAAAGAGAAGGCTTTAGTAAAGTATTAAGAAAAAGGAAAAATTATTGCCAGATGGGAAAAGAGGCAAGAAAACCCTTATTGCAATAGCTTTCTCCACTTGTTCCCTACTGCAGCTATAGAAGGGGGCTGGTGCATCCAAAATTAGGAACAGGAAAGATGTCTACAAAATCTTCACACCAGCCCTGGAAGGAGTGATGGGGCTGGAGGGGGGAGTCTACCAAAGTAATTTACATAATTATGTCCAAGAAAAGCCATATATGTTAAGGGTAATCTAGAAGAATTAGTTCCTTATGCTGTGTTTTGTTTTTGTGAGTCTTATAACGGAATTGTATTTCTCTTATCTTGACAGAAGTCAGTACGCACACTCTTTCATATTTAAATCTTGTACGACCATAAACCAGAGTCATGTCACATATGGAAGATACAGCCTGCCCTGGAAAGATGGACATAATTGGGGTGTACTGAAAAGACATGTTTGTGCTATCTGTATTCAGGGCTTCTCCTGAGTTTTTGAGTCACTTCCACACTAGGTTGCAGGAGTGTTTTTGTGCTGTTTACACTGGTTTATGCAGAGAAAGACAACTCCCTTGGTATGTCTGGAACTTCTTTGATGAGAAGCCTGAAAGTGGAAAATGGCTTCACACTTCAGGAGGGAGGGATGGAAAGGAAACCTGTCACACTAACATAACATATATTTGAAAAAGTCTTCTTCCTTTTTTATTCTGTTCATTGACCTCCAAAGATGAAAGACAGAATTCCATTCCTAAGACTTAATATATTTTTTGCCTACATATTCAAAACAGAAACAAAACTATTAACTCTTCAGAAGTTCACAGCTAGATCGTATTGATAGGGACACTGGAGGAAATGGAGAAGCAACTATTAGCTTCACTTTGAAATAGGAAAAAAGATATATAAAATGTCAGTATCAAGGATATTAGTAAATATCTATGAAGATATGTGTAAATATTAAAATAATTTCTGATTTCAGGAAAAAGATGGAGTTGAATGTGCAACCATGGACAATAACATTTTTATCTTATACAACTTTGTTTCTCTTTTAGTGGCAAAGCATTACTATAACACTGGTTGAGAAAGTGCAGATGGTTGCTGTAATCCTAGGATCTCTGTTCTTAGTAGCAAGTGTGACTTGGCTTCTATGGTCAGCCTTCAGCCCTTATGCAGTATGGCAAAGAAAGGACATCCTTTTTCAAATCTGCTATGGAATGTATGGTTTTATGGATCTAGTATGCATAGGTAAGCTCAAATCTTTAAACAGCACAGACTGTGGTTTAAGACTGTGACTATTTCTATTTTTCTAATTGGTCACTCTAATTGATCAGTTCTTTGCAGATTTATTCTCAGCTGATACCTTTGGCAAATGCTGCTTTTTACAGTGTTGCAAATATTGCAGAGAGAAAAGAATCAAAGAAGCTTTACTCTCAGATTCATCAGTGGATTCACAAAATCTTAGTGGTGAGAACAGGATCAGCTTAAATTTCTTGATAAAATGACTAACAAAGTTCAGGGAGTTAAACAGATGAAAATATGAAAGACATTATTAAAATAATTAGTAAAGTTACACACTGTCATCTTCTGATGCCAGTTTGAATTAGATTGTACCATCATGAAGCACAGAAGAAGCCCTTGAAGATGTCATCAAACTGCACACCCAAAATTAGGTTGCACAGATTTATATAGGTCACTGTGCTAGAAATGGAGGAGAACGGAGAAGGCGGGCATGAGTTCTTTGCACATCATAAACAATTATGAAACACTCACACAGTGCTAACTATAGTAACTTGCTTTACTATTAAAAAGCCCCAAGTAATTTAGCTGAAATCTTGTAAAAAAAAATACGTTTTACTGCAACACTGTATTAACCACTTTTGAAATTTCTGTAAATACACTGGACCCAGGAATATTTAAATAGAAATCCCTTTTAGTATTTGGTAAAACAATCTGATTTGATTGTTAGAATATTTATTATCATTTGGAGAGAAAATTTATGTTAAATATTACATAATTATATAATTTAGAGAAATAAATTTACATAATTAGTAATAATTATTTACATCAAACAACATTCACAGAATTTTAATTGCAAGAAAATCCAAAAGTCAAACGCCATTTGATGTTTGCATTGACATTTCTGAGAGATAAATGTTATCTGAATCTTATATATGAGAATTAGAACAGTGCTGAATTCTGCTTTGTAAGGGACAAAGAAGCAGAGTGATTCCTAATATCAAGGGTTTTGCTTCAACTGTAAAGCCACATCATCTTTTATTGAAACCATCCCATTACTGTAAAAGTATTTATATTTCAGCTACATCAGCAGTTCTGTTCATTTTGTAATTTTTGTTAGAGAAGCCTGCCCTGGAATATTTTGTAACACAGGCTTTCTTCTGTGAACCCAAATCTCAGACAGAAAAGTGAGCAGAATCTCATAGTTTGGACAAGTGCTCATCTTTTAAATGAATAAAAGGACTCAGCTACGTGTCCTCTTAGATGCTGATTTCTGAACATCACCTCTTCCAGCTTAACACTCCATACTGAGGGCTTTGCTTTTGTTTAAAAATACACTAAAGAAAAATAAAGTGTGCTTCAGGCATTCCAAGCATTTCATTTATATGGAGTTCTGGTTTGTTTGGGTTTTTTTCCCTAATAAAGAAAATGCTTTGGAATGCATCAGCTAGTTGAAATAACCAGTTACTTCAAATTATTTTCATTTTTCCCATTTGTTTTACTGTTAAAACACCTAAACCAGATTAAACTCAAAATCAGCCAAGAACGTCTGTGGGTAATCAGAAATATTACTGTATTTATCCATAGAAGTAAATATTTGGCAGGCAACCTTCAATTGATTGGTGCATCCTTTAGCTGCCTTTCAAGCCAGCTAGGCTCAAGCCACTGCTGAAGTGGAAGCTGCTGAACAAAGGTGTACCTCACATGGAGCTTCTGCAGGAGCAAAGCAAACACACAGATAAAGTGACTGGCCTGTCACTTAATAAATGCATATTTTATAGAACTATCACAAATAATACAGGAAATTTTAAATGTAAAAGTGACTACAATTAAATATATTTGGACACTGTATTGTAGTTACAAAATTCACTGCACATATGACTTAGGAATTTACTAGACTGTATCTGGAAATTCAGAAATCTGTATAAAGGAGGTTTTATAATGGAAGTATTTTGATAATCCAGATTCATTAAAGCCACTTTCTTCTCTGCTAAGGAACTTGATGCCTTGCAACATTCCTGTAACTCCTTGGTTGTAAAAAGGAACAGGCTGAAGTTATTTACAATAAACACATATATCTGCACTTTACATGTCTTTACTCAGAAAATCTTTTTTTTCTCCCATACTGGACCTAATGCTAATAATAAGACCCACTTATTCTGCATATAATTTTTAGTAATTTGCATTCTGTTTAGCTTGTAAGATCAGGACTTTTTGTAACTCTTATAGTCAACCTTATTAAATTTCATCATTTTCTTTCATGATAAAGTGAGGGAATTGGATTGATAATTTTAATTTACAATTTTCAAATAAAATTCTCTAATAGATATATGTAAGTATTACCTATAAATTATTTTTAAAACCCAAAATACTTTCCATTATGCTGATGATTTCCCTAGGCATTAACTTATTTTACCATTATTATGAATAATCTCTTATATCATGAAGCTTGTAATGCTTCCAACCAGCTACAGGTCTCACTTAGGATCTCCTCTCCTTTCATTTGTGTTTAGTCATCCATGGCATTGTCTTAGTTTTGAACAGGATTTGGAGTGAGGGAATACCTCTACTCCCACTGTAATCTCTCTTTATTCCAATGAAAAATTTATGCAGACATACAGGTTTTCCTGTACACCACGTATTTCAAGATAATGCTTGACATACTGGTGGTATGACCAAGATTTATTCCACTTGCTTTCAGTTATACCTCCCTTATACCTTTGCAGAAACAATACAAATACTTTTTGGTTGTTTGTGAAGTGTAGATATCTTCACACAAAAAGTGTGAAACATTTTTTTGAAATGTTTTGCTATAATTTTTAAAAGCAATTTGCCAAAAGGTACTGACATATTTTTATGACATATTTGAAAATGTGCACATAACAATTCATTTACTCAATGACTGACTTTTATATCACATGTAGCACACCAGTCACTTTCTTATTAAGTAAATTACACCTAACTTGTATTTTACTTCTTTGTTTTTACATTTTAACAAAAGAAACAACCTGGAGATTATAGATCATGAGAATAATATATTCTGTTAATTTTAATGTACATGCTTTATTGGTATCCACTGTTCTCTTTCTTCTAGTCTGAATTTTCCCAGAATTATTCCTGACAAATAGGATTGTTTTTATTTATCAGTGTTGGTTTTAACCGTACAAGTCATTCTCTTGTACCTTGCTGCATCAGAGCTGAGTGCAAAGCTGTTCTCTTTGAAATTTGCTATTGGTTGAAGTTTTCTTAAAGCAAACCTTGAACACCCTGATCAAGCAAAACTACAGCCTGTGAAACCCAGAGCTGTTCCAGTGATAGTGCTAGGATCAGACCATCTATGTAGGGATTACCAAAGGGAGTGAGTTCACAAAAGGAATGAATAATATAAATCCCTTATCTACCTGCTGAAGGACAGTATATCAAGCCTTTGCCATTCTACTTTCCAAACCTAGCAATTATTTTGCCTAACAGAAAAGTAGTAGAATTTTATATTTTTTTACTGGGAAATAGTCATAACTACTGGTCATAAATGGTTCTAACATGAGCAAAACCTCTCACAAATAATAACAGCTGACTTGCAATCCCAGAACAACAGTGCTGCTCCCTTTCCAGCACTGAAAAGTAATTGTTGCATTGCACTAGACACATGACAGGTGCCAGTAGTACTGTGGCAAGGGAGGAAGAGATAGGAGCCAGTGTGAGGTGTGAATTGCCCTCTGAGAGCCACTTTCTTCCCTGCTAAGAACTTGATGCCTTGCAACATTCCTGTAACTCCTTGGTTGTAAAAAGGAACAGGCTGAAGTTACTTACAATGAACACATCTAGCTGCACTTTATATGTCTTTACTCAGAAAGCCTTTTTTTTCTCCCACACTGGATCTAACACTAAATAATTTATAAAGAATTATATTTTTTACTATTACTATTTTTAGCATGGATATGTTTTACTTTAATGCTGTGAGCAATTGATTGCTTTTTTTTTTTTTTTTATATCTGTGGGCCCTAGAATAGTTTTAAGACATGACATTTTGTCCAGAGGTAAAGTCTGTTCCTGAAAATGATCTTTTATCCCTGGATAAAATCTTGTGATATTACTGGGAGGACCATTCCTAAATGTTTATATAAAAGATTAGTATGATAAATAAGATAAAGTTGTAGCCTAATACCACCAAATATGAATAAGATAAGTTGACTGCTTGTAAAGACATTCAGTAGTAAAAAATTTCAAGTATCTTGTGAGTCAGGATAAGAAAACTTTTGAAGATGGTAAAAGAATAGAATAGTCCTTGGCAAAAAGATAAAAAAAGAAAACAAAATTAAGATTCTTCATAATCCTATTAGCTGGATCCCACTGCAATCCCTCCATCTTAGAGATAAAACGTAAAGGTAAAGCCTTCTTAGGACCATAGGACATTTTAGATGGGTCCATCATCCAAAAACTCTGTTCCTTGTAGATATTAATTGGACAGAACATCTGAACAGCTAACAGTAGTGAATTGTAATATTTCTTGGGATCATCTGAGTCAAACAAATATTTTTCCCCTACAAGTGTTCAGCTGTGTCCTCTGTGCTGTTGAAATCATGGTGTTTGGAACAAATCAGTGCTCTTCAGGGATTTGTTCTTGTTTTCTTTCTCATAGCTACCTTCATTGCTGTGAAATCCTTAAGAGAAAGGCAATTATTTGCCATTTCCTTACAGCTCCACTTCAATGACTAACTACTTATATTTTGAGCATCAGAACTCCTCTGGACCTGGAAAATCTCTAGCATTTAAATTTTACCTGGAGTTCCTCTTTTTGTGGTCTTGGAACTGTTGGTGCCAAGAACTCCACATCCCCCCCACCCCCAAAGTTATTTTCCCTCATCTACGTAGGTATTTTTCAATCTATAGCTCTATCAAGAAGGGAGCTAAAACTTTTTATGAGAGGAATTATGAAAGTGCTGCTTTTCTCCTTCAGCACTGCCAAATCTGACAACTTCATGTCAAGGCTTGCGATATTTGATCCTTTGTATTGTAGCTCTTTTAAAGGATATGTGACTGACAGCTTCCACTATAAAGGAACCCTTGCCAATGTTTAAAGACTTTGAAAACATAATTTCAATAAATCCTGAAAGCCCCAAGACAGTAAAAAAGAGATCCCTGAAAGAAGTCATCCTACAACTTCATCTGTTGCAATTTTGGAAAGATATTTTGACTGTTTAAATGTACTTCATGTATCTCGTTGATCCTTTCTCAAATACTTTGTTCTCTGTTCTGAAATATGTTGTTCAGGTTCTAGTGGAGTGCAGACATGTATCTTTACTTTGGAGTAAATAGGGTTTTTAACTTTGCTTCATCACAGACTTGAGAGAAGTTGGACCAAATAATGCTGTGTTCCAGGAACAGGTTGAGGAAGATTATTCTCATCTCCTTTATCAACTTCATAGGAAATCCAAAAGAACACAAAAGGATTAATCTTCATCACAACAGTAAAACCATGGCTAATTTGGTTTGTAGATTCTGTACAGGATCCAATACACTTATTCTTTTTTGTACAATCAAGCCAGTCTTGAAGGTACATTTATGTATCGACTAAATTATTATGATAAATTTTAAAGACAGGTTACTTTATCTATGTCTCAGAAGATAAAGATAGAAATCTTGCAATCAAGAAAAAAAATCCACTAAAATGCTTTGCTGTTACAAAATACATTTAGAATATTTACTATTTAATTAAGTTTATTTTGTGCTACTTTTGCTATATTGGATGCTTCAATAAATTCTAGGCAACTTGAAAGCCTTACAGAGATGCTGCATTAACTATCATGTCCTTCTGAAAGAAATCTTTGTGTTTCTCCATCTTTCAGTGTAATGATCTTTAAAAATATGTTAGAGTAGGCGTTGCTATCTGCAAATCATTGCGCTTTAATGTGAGGTTTGCTGTTCATGTAAATATTTTTACCACCCTTTCAGCTTGTGTCATCTTTCTGTGAGCATCTCCTTTCTGGTATCAGTTAATTGTGCTAAAGGACCTCAGACACTTAAATCACAATTTTCTTGTGCAGAAACAGGCGATATACAATCTCTTGGGCTAAAGCACATCACTGGTCATATTACAGATGTGGCCATGTATAGGAAAATTTAAGGCAAGGAGCACCCTGGACAAAAGATTTATAAATGTTTTTGGCTAGGCAGATTGCTCTCTTCCCAAAGCAGGGAGCCAGAGAAAACAGGTGGTGTTGCTCAGAACTGTGTAAGTGTCCTGTGTAAGGCTGGCTGAGGAAAAAACTAGTAGGAAGGCAGAAGCCCCATGTGTCTCCCCAGTAGATCCATATTTGAAATACATATAAAGAGTGTGAGTATAAACATATACATACATACAAAAAGTTAGAAGCTTAATTTCTTTAAATAAGTTGCTTGAACACATACAATAGGCATAAATATTAGCTACATGGAAATTCATAAGCAGATTGGTCTCCTGAGGACTCCAGAAATTCTGTATTTTCCTTGAAGGACCTTTTAAAAGATTTCTCAGTCTCAAGAAAAAGATAATTTACAACTTTTTCCTATTGAATACTGAAGAGAAAGAAGAAAGTCTATCATCCTTACCATGCTCATTGTAGTTAATGATAACATTTAATTTTATCTTGTTCTAAAGAACAAGACAGGAAAGTCATTATATTTACAGCTGTTTCATAAATCTTATGTGCTCCCAAGTTGAACTGGGAATATGAAAGCAGTTAAATTTGTCAGTTTCTGTACTGAATTCTACAAAACACTCTTAAGCAAATTTAGGACTGTCCTGTTCATTGCAGAAGGTCTAGCTACTTAAAGGTCTACTTAAAGAAGTACCAATCTCAGTAAATAAATAGTACTTACCATGAACAAGGGCAGCACTAGCATAAACAGTTAATATCTAAATCTGCCAGTTTTGCATTAGTTTACTTAAATCTGAATAATTTATTTAGTTAGGCATGCTCAGATTATTCCACTATTGGTTATATTGAGGTTTCATTCAGGACAACTTATTTCCTCTGCATGTTCCTACCTGCCAAACAAATGAATAACCAGTTAAATTGCATTAAATTGTACAGTTTGTTTGAATTATTAATGTTATGAGTAATTTAATTGCATCTGGAAATTGCCAGAGTCATTAAAATGTGTTAAATCTCTATTTGCTCTCAAAATGGTATCCATTGACATTTTGTATAAAGTCTCTTTTTTCCCTCTTACTTTCAGGACTGATAGTCCATGAAGGTGCATCTGTTTACCGAGTGTTTAAACGCTGGAGAGCTGTGAATCTGCACTGGGATGTGTTAAATTATGATAAAGCCACGGACATAGAAGAGAGCAATCGAGGAGAATCCTCAGCAGGGAGGACATTGTGGCTGCCGCTGACTGCATTTAGAAACAGAAGTTTAGTTCATCCAACACAGTTAACCTCACCGAGATTTCAGTGTGGCTATGTGTTGCTACAGCTGTTCAACCGCATGAGACCTCAGGAGGATTCATCAGAGGATAACTGCTCTGGGGAAGTAGTCATGAGAGTGACCTCAGTGTAAAGATTGTGCTCACTGTGCTACACAGATAAGGATAATGTGCCCTGGTGTTACAGGACTGCAGAATGTAGTTATGATGAATGGTGAAACCATTAACACTTGAAAAAATATATACACTTGTTTTTTTTAAATTTAATGTTTTTTATATGATCAGATAAAACATAAATACATTTTTCTGGGGGAAAAAGTCTCTTGCTTTTTATATAGTCTGATTTATTGAATCTTTTCTCAATTTGTACCTGAGGTGTATGTAACATAGCTTGACTCTTAGGTCTTTAAATGATGAGGAAACTCATTTTTAAGTAAAAAGATATATTTAAATGTATTTTCTTAAACTCTGGCTTTAATCCACTACTGTTATTTTTTTCCACTTTCATGAGGATTAAACTGGGCAACATTCTTCCAAAAAGAATAAGAATGTTGACACAAGTCAAATATTTTTCCTTTTCTGTCTTTATTTTGCTGTTGTTTGTAGCTCAGTTCAGGTGTGTGAAATTAAGTGAAGGATATATTGTCCTTTGCATTTAAGCAGGAAGTCCAGTGGGTGTTCTACAAAACCTAAAGGAAGATGGGAAGTCTTTTCTTTTAGCTCTCCCAGATGTCCATGCAAGATATCAGACACAAGTGTGACACAGACAGGGGAAGAGTCTTGTACTGCCTCTCAAGATCTGCAGAGGGCTGGTGCTGTGCCTGTGCACAGAAGTGACCTTACCTTCTCAGCAGCGCTGCTGGAATTAGCAGTGTGTGAATCTTTAGTGCCATTCTAATTATAGGTCATTGACATCCCTTAAAAAAAAAAAAAAAGAAAAAGAAGAAATGTGCATTGCAACTTCTGGAATAATAATAAATCCTGATAGAATCTGGAGTATAAATAATACAGAACCTTAATTTTGCCAAGGAACAAATCATCATATTTAAAATGAGCCAATATTATGATAGATCAGTGCTGTGAAGTTTGCTTCTCTTGTTTCTGTTTCATGGCAAAAATTCGAATAGAATTTAATCAAATAGTAATGGAAATGGAAATAATTTTCAACCTAATAATAAGCCTGTTGAAGATTGAAATAGAAAAGTAAGGCTGAAATTACTCTGAGAACACTAGCTTACTCAAAACAGTTTTGTGGAATCATAGAATATACTGATTTGGAAGGGACCCATCAGGAGCATCAAGTCCAACTCCTGGCCCTACACAGGACACTCCAAGAGTCACACCATGTGCCTGAGAGCGTTGTCCAAACACTTCTTGAACTCTGTCAGGCTGGTGCTGTGACCACTTCCCTAGGGAGCCTGTTCCACTGCTTAGTTCCCCTCTGGTGAAAAATCTTTTCCCGACACTCAGTCTAAACCTCTCCTGACTCAGCTTCGGGCTATTCCTTGAATCCTGTCGCTGGTCACGAGAGTGAAGCGGTACCCGTCTGTTGTGGTTTCACCCCAGCCAGGCAGCCACTCGCTCAGTCCCCCACTGGTGGGACATGGGAGAGAATCAGAAGCGTAAAAGCTAGAGAACTCACGGGTTGAGATAAAGACAGTTTACAAGGGAAAGCAAAAGCCACACACACAAACAAATTTAAACAGGGAATTCATTCACCCCTTCTCATGGGCAGGCAGGTGTTCAGCCATCTCCAGGAGAGCTAGGCCTCATCATGCGTAGTGGTTAACTGGAAAGACAAAAGTCATCACTCCAAACATCCCTCCCTTTTGTCCGCCTATAGTAGTGCCTACTATAAAATAGGCACTTTATATATTGCACATGATGTCACATGGTCTGCAATATCTCTTTGAGCAGCTTGGGTCACCTGTCCTGGCTGTGTCTCCTCCCAGACTCCCAATAACTCTCACCCTCCTCACCAGCAGGGCAGTACAGAAATCAGAAGTAGCCCTGGCTCTGTGTGAGCCCTGCTCAGCCATAACCAAAACATCTCTATCAACATCTACTACCAACTCTGTGCTCAGCATAAATCCAAAACAGTCTGTTCCAGTCACTGTGAAAACATTTAATTCTACTCCAGCTAAACCCAACACATTCCACCCCTTATTCCATAGCATTTACATGATGCCAGTTGTCCCTATTCAATACAATTGCAGTAACCACCACCTTAACCAACATACTGCCTGTCTGCTTCCCCTCATGAGGATGTTGAGGACAACAGTGAGGTCTCTTCTCCACTCTCTTCTCCAGGCTGAACAGACCAAATGAGCTCTGTTGCTCCTCATACAGCTTTTCCTTCAGATCCTTCACCAACCTTGTAGCCCTCCTTTGGGCCTCCCTTGGATGCTCTTCAATAGTTTAATGTCTTTCTTATATTGTGGCACTCAAAATTGCACACAGTGCTCAAGGTGAGGCTGCCCCAGTGCAGAGCAGAGTAGGACAATCCCCTCCCTTCCCCAGCTGGTGATGCTGTGCCTGATGCACCCCAGGAAAGGGTTGGCCCTCCTGGCTGCCAGGGAAATGCTGACTCATGTTCAGCTTGCCACTGACCAGGACACCCAGGGCCCTTTCTGCAGTGCTGCTTTCCAGCACCTCATTCCTTTGGTCTATACATACACCCAGGGTTGCCCCATCTAAAGCGCAGAATCCAACACTTGATCAGGTTGAACTTCATATGTTAATGATTGACCATCTCTCTAATTTGTTGAGGTCTCTCTGCAGGGTCTCCCTGCCCCCAAGGGGGTCAGCATCTCCTCCCAATTTAGTGCCATCAGCGAGCATATTTAGTGTTCCTTTGAGTACTGTGTCCAAGCCATGAATGAAGATGTTGAAGGGAACTGGGTCAGGGAAGGAATGTTGGGTTGACCTTTTGTGGCTGTCAGATTCCCACCCAGCTTCTCTATCACCCTTCTCAACAGAAGACAGGGAATAGAGCATGAAAAATCTTGTGGGTCAAGACAAAGACAAGGGCACTAACCAGCTACCCATCCTCTTCCCAGATGCAGCTTCAACCCTTCACTCCCAGCTCTTCTACCTTCTCCCCGGTGGGCAGCACAGGGGGATGAGGAATGGGGGTCTGCAGTCAGTCTATAACAGTTCCTGTCTGCTGCCCCTTTCTCCTCCTCACACTTCTCTGCTCCAGCCTTGGGCTTCTCCAAGCATTTCAGTCTTTCAGTATAAACCTGCCCCAGCGTGGGCTCTCCGTGGGCTACAGTTCCTTTGAGACATGTCTGCCAGGGGCTGCAGCAGCGTGGATGTCAGCTGCACCATGGTCTCTCCAGAGTTTACAGGGAAGTATCTGCTCCACCAGGACATCTCCAGGATCACAGGACAATCTCTGCTTGGGACAGACTGTGTTTGGCATGAAGCAATCCCAGCCTCTCCTCCCAAAGGTCGCCTCTGCAGCTCCCATCCCCACCTTCCCCCTGGGCACCTGGACCCAGTACAGAGATAAACAATTTTCTGTTTCAAAATAAGTTTATTCAGTGGCTGAAAATTTTTATTTTGTGCAGGAGATGGAGTGTTGAGGCTGGAAAATTCCCTCTCATGAATCAACAGGATGGTGCTGAAATCAGTGCATGCCTTCCTTTTATAAGAGGCTTACGTGCCACCACCAGACACAGGAGGTCTCTGTGACTACACTTGGAAGGGAGATAGAAATAATTTAAGCACTGGTGCTTAAAAGCTCCTTGTATACTCATAAACATTTATCTTATGAACTCTACACAGGGCCCAGCATTCTGTGTTACAGTTCCACAAGTTCAAAGTTATATTTAGTAAATTACAGATGTCTTACTGTTCTCTAACCAATTCATGTGAAAACCAGTACATAAGCCATGAACAAAAAAATGCTATCTCAAAAAACCCAACTTATCTCCTGCATGGCAAATTACCAGCATACAACAGGCACTCTCCTTGAGAAACTGTGAGAATTCACTTCTAGGTTATCTTTAAACAATTTCCCAAAGGAGGAATTTGGAGAGAAGTAAAAGATGAAACTATGACTTGGGAAACCTGCTTTATCACTGGGAAATACTTGCTCTTAATTACTGCTTAAATAAAGGCTGCTTTCCCGGAAGGACCACAGCTTCTCTTGACCAAATTGAGATAACAGTATCTCAAAAAGCACTTGCAATACCAGCATAATAAAGTATGCTGTGATCGATATACTTATGTTTCACACCTTTGAGGTACTCGTGATCTCTGGGATTTAAAGAATATTTAAGTGGTCTTTCATAGGATCCTAAAAACAAAATTAAGAACTATATGAAAACATTTTATTGTAAAGAAATATTTTTATTCTCATCCAAATGGGTAAGGTGCTGGCAGAAAACAAAACTCATCAGAAAGAAAATCAATGGATGTAATTTAAGAGAGGACAAGATTCTGTGCTCAAATATTTGAGAGACACCTAGATCTAGAACACTTAACAACCTCTGAGTGAAAAAATGGTCCAACTAAGAGAAATGAAAATTGTTTGTAAGAGAAATGTTTATGGCAAATATCACAAAAGCCTTTTTAATGGTAGGAAAACTTAACATTAATTTCTATGGTACAATAATTTTGCATATGACTGCATTTATGTATTTCCATATGTAGAAAACAGGATCAGAAAATTATAAACGGCAACAGGATCAGTATAGGCAGGATGCAGTTGTTAAAAAATAATGGAATTGTGTTGTCTTGCAAAATATTTTCAGTAGTAAGAGTGCCTAGTGCAGGATATGAACATTTTTTCATTGACCTTGTATTTGGATTAGTGCAGTACTTGCATTGCTGTAATCACCTACATGCCAGAGGATGAATTAAAATTAGAACAGGTGCATAGAGAGGATATTAGGATGAGAAAGGAGCAGGGACTCTATTCCAGTCACTATGGGGACAGGAGGAGGTGTGTGCACAGAATTAGAAGAGCCTGGCTTGTTCTGCTTAACAAAAGTTGAGAGCAAATGTTATTGCTCTCAGTTAATACATTGCAGAATAAAATTTATTTTAGGCAAAGGACAAGCCTAAGACAGCAGAAGAACTCAAGGGCACAAATAGATCAGAAATCAATTTAGCTAGAAGTTCAAGGTAGTTTTAAAATATTCATGGAATGAATTACAGAAAACAATTCAAGCTGGAAGGACCCACGGGAGGACATCTAATCCAAGCTGCAGAGTCAGCTTCGAGGTCAGACCAGGTTGCTCAGGGCTTTAAGCCATCAGGTCTTAAAGATCTTTAAGGATGGAAATTGCACAGCCTCTATGGGCAACCAGGTCCAAGTCTTGACTATTACCAGAATAGTAGTTCCTTCTATC